TCAGCATGTTATAAATTGGTCATTGCATTCAGTTAACTCAGTATTCAGTATCTATATCATGTTCAGATTATTTCATTGCTTTATTGCTTTGTTCAGTTATATGCTCTTTCAGCTTTACTCCATCCTGCATGCTCAGTACCCTTCAAGTACTGACGCATACGTGCGCTACATCTTCTCGTGATGTAGGTTCAGGTTCTCAGCATCCAGATCACGCTTAGATCGGTTCCCGATCTCCAGTTCAGCAGAATCAGTGGTGAGTCCTCATTCTCCGAGGACAATAGTCATGAGTTTCTTTTCAGTATTTTTAGTCTTTAGTTTCAGTTTTGCTAGATCTAGTTGGGGCATGTCCCAACATTTCTAGTCAGTTTAGAGGCTTATTTCAGACATAGCTAGATTCAGCTTAGTATTTTGAGTTTGATATTTCTTTTGTATTAAACTCTCAGATTTCATATATTCAGTTACAGTATATGGGTATTCCCCATCTTTTCAGATTTATTTATGATTTAGCTTCCGCATCAATTTATTATCTTTAGTATGCTCATGATCATGCCAGCAGGGTTAGCTTGGGATCACTTGTGGTCCTAGGTCCCGTGTCCGCGTCTTGGGGGTAGCTCGGGGCGTGACAATATCAGTGCTCAATACTACTCCAAAAAATATACTTAGCTCATATGTTTTAAAATAACTTCTTTCTTTGGTTTGAGAAAATTACTCAAAACTTTAGCTTAAAAGCTCTCTTGGAATCGATATTCCCTTTTCTTGCTCAAATGTGAAAATATTTATAAACTCTTAGGAAATACTTAGTTCCCTTATAGCTTCTTTGAGAAATGAACTCAACTATTTAGTCTTAGCTTAACTTGAAACTTTTAGTCTTAAAACAAAGTTAAAACATTTGTAAAAGACCCTTGAAACTTTGATGACTTCACTCTTGACTTTCTTTGAGTTGACTCTTAACTTTCCTTGAATTGAATTATGGATTCAAGGATTATGATTTGTGATAGGAAAGGTCTCTTGATGTTTAGGAATGATTTCGAATAGCTAAACTTGAGAAAAGTTACGAAATCACCGTCTTGGAACAAGTCTGCGACGCGGAGGTGTTCCTAAATAATTATTCGCGAAATTAAAATTTGAGACAATGGTGTCCGCATACTCTCCACGATGCAGAACAGATTTTTGTTCACTAGGGGAACAAGTCCGCAACGCGGATTTGTTTCATGAACGTTACTCGACTTTTTCCTTCTTCGTTTTTCAACCTCAAGCCACCTAAATTCGATTATCTTACTCAAATTCGTTTTAAATCCTGATGCCCAACATGTATACTCAAGAAACTAACTCAAAGCATCCCTAAACTCAATGCAAGGATCTCATAAACTTCTCAATTCGTCCTACTTCTCTAACAACATTCGTATTCAAGAATATTTGGCAAGAACATCAATTTTCCAACTCTTCTAGGACGAATCGCACTGAATTAAAGATACTTGGCGCGTGGGTGGATGAATCCAACGTTATGAGAGACTCACATACCTTGTAGGATCAATTTCTTGGCGAATCCACGACCAAAATCGATTGTTCTTGGCGAATCTTGGTTTTCCTCTTCTCCTTTCTCTTGCGTTCTTTCTCCAAAGCCCTAACTCTATTTTTCAAAAGCGTAAATTGAACTAACTCAGTTTTTGACCCCATTTAATTTACTAAAACAGATTTAATTAATCGGGTTAGGAAAAGACTAAACTACCCTTCAAAAATCCGAATTGGCCATTTCCTATTTCGAACAACCCCACTTCCAAAGGACATAACTTACTCATACCAACTCGGAATCGCGTAAACTTAGCGGTGTTGGAAATATCATTCTAAGAGCTTTCCAACCATATCTGAAACTACACCTAACTCATTCTGGTCTAGGAGTTATGGTCATTTGAAATTGACCTAAAAAACTCACTTTAATTTACTTAAAATTTTCCAGATTTCCTGATACTTTCCAAAAATAACTATTTCCAGATTTTAAACTTCCTTCTAGTTATTTCTACTTGCGAGATGTTACATTCATGACTCACTCAAATTTAATTTAGGGCTACACTAGGCTAAAAATTGAATTGGGTTAGAAACCACCCATTTTGACTTGCTTAATCTAAACAATGTTGACATACTAATGTAATTAATTGAAGAAAAAAAAGGCCAAATTCGCCAAAAGAAAAGCAAAAAAAACAAGAAGAAAGATGTGAAAACTGTTTCTGAACTCAAGACCTAGGACCCAAGACCCAAGCCAATACACCCAACTAGAAAATTCGAACCAAAACTCGACACGGGACACGAGATTCAACCCGACCCTAGACCAAACTCGAGATCCAATTCGGGAATCAAACCCAAGATCGGCCCAACATACACCCCTAACTAGACCCAATTGCAAGATCTAACCCCGACTCAAGACCCTAACCAAACCCGACCCTGACTTGGGATTCAAGACTTGACATGGGACTTAAGATTTGACCCCGATCCTGACTTGAGACCCGAACTAGACCCAAGACTTGACTCTTGAGACTCAATACCAAAACGAGACCCAACCTTGGACCCAAGATCCAAACTTAACACCAACGAGAGACCCGATCTCAACCCTGATCTGGGATCAACCTCAACCCATCTTGTATATTAATGTATCACTGGTATTTATATATGTGGAAATAAAAAAATAATTATATGATACATCATACATATTGATGTCATATTTTCGGGTAGATGCCATATTTCCAATATATGCGTATATCTTTCATGCATTTTTTTTTTATGTATATTAGTGTATCATGTATATTTGCGTATATCTATGTGTGTTATATGATAAACCATATTGTCGTATTTTTTGTATCTATACCTTACACAAGAAAACAACTTAAAACCATCTTATATTTTGGAAATAATATTTTCCTTCTTGCCGAACACACCCTTAATTGCCACTCTTACAAATACTTTTAACCATTTATCAAACATAATAATATTTTATAATTTAAATAATCATACAAAGAAGAACTATTTAAAACCCGATGTTCCTCCAAAAATAAATTATATCCTTAATTATCAAACATAACATCTTACAATTATTTTAATTAGCTTTATTCAAATGGCAAAAGCAAAACAATAAGCTCCAAAAAAAAAATCTCAAGTCTCTATCTCATAAAGTCATCATCTCTGAAAATGAGTTAATTAAAGAATCTTTGATTTTGCAAATATCAATTATTAAATATAATAATTAATTGAGTAATTAATATGAAAAGAATGGACATCTTTTTTTTGTCGACAAAATAACCGACCTAATAAAATGCCTAATAAGCATCTTATAAAACGAATTATAGAATCAGACGATGATAATTAGGAACAATATAATACTATTCATTGTGAATTATTAATATCTTAATTCTCCTATGATTGTGAATTAGTGGAAAATATCTCATAGCCCAGCATTTAGTGCAACATGTGTAAGGGAAAATGCTCTATCCTTTTCGTTTTACTTGTCATTTGACCACTGTTAATCTGATACACTTTAAAATAAATTTTTAATCTGGTATACCCATTAAGAAAAAATTAATTAAATGTGTATTTTATTAAGTTAATCTTATTTTCTTGATTTGTTAAATTAAACAAGTTTAATGAAATATCTATTTTTGAACAGAGGTCAAGTAAAATGAAACGCCGAGAACAAATAAGTCATCTTGTTTAACGAATAACAACCATTATTTTCCTTAAAAAGGTAAATCACCTTTTTAAATCATTTCCAAGAATATCATTAGTGGATAAATCAAATATCTTTTTCCTCATTGCTTAGAATACCAACATGGGTTTGTCACAACATCATCAATTCCATTAATATCCTTATAATACTTTTTTTTTTTGTTTTTTACAATAATTAAGTTTATTGATTGCAAAACCCCTGTTTTTTAGACCAAGAATTTAAAAGTTCATGAAGAGGTTATTAACATTATTTGACTGGTGAATTTTTTTTGTAATGAACATAAGTGTGAAAATGACAATTTGACTATTTACTTAGTAGCAAGCCAAAAATCTTAATAACAAAATTCCAAAAATATAAATTAAAATGTTGAGTTTCTATGTTATGGAGATTAAATAGCTTATGGGCAATGCTAAATGGCCAGAAATTTGAAAAGTCTATAATATCATTTTTATTTTAAAATAAACTGATCTTTTTTCCATTTTTTAAAATTAAAAGGTATTAAAATTAAAAGGGTATAAATATTCAAAAAGGTAAAATAACATAGTATGAAATATGTTATTTTACTATTCTGACCAAATTTTTTGGCAAAAAGATTTTTCCATAGCTTATATATACAAAGAAACAAAAAAACTATTTGCCCTACTTGTATAGTGTGATTTCCGAGTTAATTAAAAGATATTCAATTAAACACCTTTTCATATCTTTAGCTCCCCTGCCCGATGTATTAACACTATAACAAAAGAGATATTTAATTTAGCATTAACAAATATTTTCTTTTATCAATAATATTTATTGTCGCAAAAATATTTAGCAGTACTTAAGTTAATGACATTGCATCCAGAAACACTAGATACTTTAGCTACATTTGTATAAAGTGCTGGTTATAATATATTCATATCATATTATTATCACTAAATAATTGCAACAAAATCCTTTATTTGTTGTAGCGTAAGCTCTAGCTAGGTACATAGAACTTAACTCTATTTACCATATAGCTTATTCTTAATTGAAAAGAACATGTAACAAAGTTCACATACTAACCTCCATACTTCAATGGTGGATTTTTTAAATTTTTTTTTGGGACACTTTAAAGACAGGTCGTATCAAGAACCTAACAGTTTCAACTCCTTATCTAAAATTATTCTTTCCTTTTAATTTATTGGTGTGTGTTGGTGGTGGGGGTATAAAGGAAGCATATTGAATCTTCACCATGCCACTATTTTAGTTAGTATATAAATAGCTTCAAGGGGGGTTTTAAATTCATCATCACTTCAACAACTTATCATTTTCCTCTTATATTACATTAATAATTTTTTTCCAATAATTAAAATGGAGTCAGTGAAGAAAATGGTAGCTGAAAAGCCAGTGGTTATGTTTAGCAAAAACAAGTGTTGTATGTGTCACACAATAAAGACACTCATATCAAGTTTTGGTGCTAACTTAACTGTATATGAATTGGATGAGCTTCCCAATGGGCTACAAGTCGAACGAGCATTGCTGATGCTAGGCCTAAGGCCTAGCGTGCCAGCAGTGTTCATTGGACAAGAATTAATTGGCGGTGCGAATGAGATCATGAGTCTACATCTAGAGGGAAATCTTGTTCCTCTGCTCATGAAAGCTAAAGCTCTTTGGCTATAGTGTATATACACTTTTTTTTTGGTTTATATATTTGGTATTCGAAATTTACTGGCATGACTAGTTCAGACTCACGACGAATAAGCGGGTGAAACTACACTCCACCTTATAGAAAGTGCATATTAACACCTAGTAAGTTTGGTTTTCTCAATGTTTGTGGAATTGAGCATCGTTTATGTAATATGCTCAATGAAAACTCTGTTTTATCAAACAAGAGTCCTTAATGTTTCTCAAGCATTGTAATAAGAAATTATATATATAATATATAATGTCATAGACTCTTTTAGTCACTCTCATTTAGTTTCCCTTCTATCTTGATTCAAATTTATGACTTGGTATATAGTTTTTATATATTGTTTTACAATGTTGTACTCCCAATTGGGTGATTCAAATATTTTTTTTGAAAAAATAAGTGGTTTACCCTATTGAAACGTAGCTTGATTCTGAACTTATATTCTTGAATTTCATGGTGATGGTAACACTTTATAACTTTATTGAACCTCCTTTATTGGTATTTGACATGTCGATAAATTAGTAATGATTTAATTGATCTTAGTTATGTCACTTCAACATTAAAATTTAAGGTTTTAGGTTTTTGCCCCACATCATCACTTAACTTAATTACACTATTTCAATATCTTTATATAACCTAACTTGCCACACTATCTAAACGATAGTATAAATTGGACCTTTAGCTAAGATTGATTGAGTCTTAGTCAAGTTCATCAAAGACACAAGGTGGCAGATGGGTCTAGAGAACTGAATTGTCATCCGTTAAAAAATCTCTCCTAAAGATAAAACTATTAATGAAATAGGCACTATTATAGACTAAGATGAAAATACTTACTTTCATAAATTCCCGAATAAAATAGTATTATAAAGGGAATGCTTACATCTACTATTGGGGAATTGATGCATCCTCTTTCTCTGGTGACAATTTTAATTGAAAAAAAAGGGAATGCTTCATGTTTAAATTGGATTCTCTATAAAATCACATACTTTAGGTCACCAATCACAATTTAATTGGATTCAATATTTTTAAAATTGATGCATGCATTGATCTAATAAAGAACCTGCACTAGCTCACATGTATTAACCATATAGTATCTAACTTCTAAGTTTAGGATAGTTTACATAAATCTCATACTGTTAAGAGCTAATTAAATTTTTTTCCTATTCTCTTTCAAATTATAAAAATTCCTTAAAATTTATGAATTTTGAATACATCACTGAACTCCCGAATACATCAACAGTTAATAACACACCATTTAACTAGAAAACCTTCCAAAATTTCACTACATTCTTCTTAAAAACAAGAGGCAAGTTCCAATATATTGTATATCAATGTATCCGTGTCATGTATATTATTGTATATCCATAAAAATGTGTGTAATATACAATGATGTACATTGTCTATTGATGAAAAATGTGCCGAAATAGAACTTTCCTGTGATCCAATTCATTTTAACCCAAATAATTAATCTGTTATCAATCCAATCATTTTAATCCGTTCAAATTCAACTCAATCCTGTTCAACACCCTCAGATCCAACAATGAATTGTCGAGTTTGGTAAAACAAATGCTTTGAAGTCGAACTTTGGATACTGTTAAATATATATGAAGTGAGCACAAATTAAGAAACATATACCTTTGAGCTATATAAACTATAAATTCAGTCTTTCATAAAAAAATTGAACACAATTAAGAAAAGTGTCCAAAAAAGAGTATGCTACCACTATTGCATATTGGGCTTTGACTATATCAGGGTTCAGGCTCTCGACATTTCTTCAACATGGGCCTCGAATTTTTATTGGTAACTTACCGAAATTTCACTACATGTTTAACAACTCATTATTTAGATACACGCTACTTTGTAATATTTTACGAATCTTATCATATTTTGGTGTGTCCAGATACGTGCAGATACATGTATCTCGTGATACATGAGCTCAAAATTAGGTGTACTTTGGTTTAGATACACTATCCAAGTGGATTCACATGTATCTGGGATACATAGACAAATCTCACTTGCCTCCCTCCCTCCCGTCTTGCATATCTCACTCGCGTATTTGGTATCCCAGATACATGTATATACAGAGTATCGAGTTGTTATTCTCATTTAACTGGGATACGTAGCCAAATCTCACTCGTCTCTCTCCCATCTCGCTTGCGCATTTGGTGTCCCAAATACATGTATATAGTGTGATTCACATGTATTTGACTTGAAATTTGATAATAAATTATTAAATAGTGCGATAAAATGTAATCATTTCAAATTATAGAGAGAACCTTCCAAAAATTAACAACTAGCTCATTTAAAAACATAAATTCGTACCTAATTTTTTAAAACTAAATACTAAATTAGTCGCAAAAAACTTAATTAACTTAAATAAAGATCAATAATTACTCTAGATACATCTTACATTACATATAATAGGTCAATTTGCCTGCATGCTTCATGCAATAGTATTGTTGGCATAATAATCTTATGAGGAGTTTTTTCTGTAAAGAATCTTTTTGGGCATGCAAACAAGTAGCATCTCTTTCCACAAATAAAAGGGGAAGCAAAGATGCATATATATCCATCTAGCTACTAGCCCAGATTCTTCATGTTTTCTTCTTTTTGGCCTTCTTACTTTGATTCCCATCTTTCCTTCACACCTAAGATAACTAATAATGTCACAAGAGTATTTGTGTACCCGATATTTACACTAAATCAATGAATACATACTTATATATTCACATATATACATTGAATGTATAGAAAAATGGATCTTGAGCCTATCTCAATCCCAAAAGCTAGTTCATAATAGGGAGGATTGCTCAAATCATATTAAAGGGACCACCAATTCTTTTTTGTTCAACGTGAGACTCTTCAACAATTACACATTCTCGTTTAATTAATTATTTATAACATAACCGTGGTTAAGTTGTGTGGTTTGGTGTATACACACTAGATGCTGATAATAAGTTTTTACCATGTTACTTATGCATAATAACACAACAACATATCCAGTGTAATCACACAAGTAGAGTCTAAAGAGAATTCAGTACAACCTTAATTAACTCTACTCCCACGGAGCTAGAGTATAACACATTAACACTATTATAATTGTAATTTGAATTTGTGACTTGTCAATAACTATACAATATGATTTTTCGATCGAACCGGGATTATTCTATAGACCTTTTCATTGAATGTAGCCCCGCCCCTAATCCTTCATTACGATAGAAATGAACTTTTAGATCGAACAATGTGTGACATTGTGACACAAACAACTTGCATGGGTCCAAAGGTGAATAAATTAAAGAATATTTGTGAGAACAAATTGGATAAGCTCTCATCTTTTACACATCAGCTATATATATTTATAAGATCCTTCAAACAAGTTATTTAACTTTGTAACATGAAAACTCTCAACTTGGAAGACGTAAGGAATCTATATTTTCAATTATTAGCTTCTTTGATTCCATAGAATTTCACAATCAAACGTGTAAAATTTATATTTTAGAGGAATATTACAACTTTTTTATTTTATTTTAATTTGAATCTAGTGAATGAACCTGTTAAGTCGTTATCTGACACTGCTCAAAAATCTTCACAAATAAGTTTTATATATTCTCGTATGCATGCTTTAAATAATTATAGAGCATATTTTATTCGACATTATTCTTCTACGTCTATTCATACAATAGCATTAATGTCTTTAGAATATCTAAACATCTTTATTCTTGACATACTATATTAATAGTACTACAGTCTACACGCTCCCGTGAGAGTCTAATTCTTTTTCATAGATCAAGTACGTCAATTTTTTTTTTATATGAGTGATGGTGAGATTCGATCTCAAGACCTTTGTCTGCTTGGATACCATGTTGAAGTGTGTGACCATCTCATCTAAAAGCTTAAGTTATTAGAGAAAACACATTTTTTAATAGTTAATTATATTCTCAACAATTTGAAGTATTAGGTAATTCCAAGATTATTATATTCCATCATTTATAATAAAATAGTATGATCACCATTTCATATAGAAAGTGAAAATAATTAATTTCATGAGATATTTTTATTTATCCCATCCCGCATACCAAACGTCTCCATTAGTCATAGTTTATCACCGAAAGTTTCCCAGTGAATTATAAGAATTAATTTATTAAGTAAATAATTAAAGGAATAAAATCTTCAAAATAGTGTTATAGTTTGTACGGACATTGAAGGGGTTCAGGTATTATGGTTATGGTCGGTAAGCACAAGTGGGCAAAATCAAGAACATAATCAAAGTGCTAACACTTTTTCTAATTTTTTTGTTTGTTAATTAAGGTCTCCATACTTATTTGATTCCTTTAGTTTTAAGAATAAATATCTTTAGTGAATTTCCTCTGTTTCATTTTTAGCTAACTTTAGTATTTTTGGCCTTTGAGTATTTTGCCTTTTTCTAGATAACTATAAACAATGTAATCTATATACTCCATCCATCCCTTTTTGGTTGTCATGATTTTTTTTTTTTTTAGAGTCAAAACGATGAAAATTTTGACTAACATTTGCAAAAAATTACAATTTATAGTACTTTTCGTATATCGTTTTTGAAATATCTAAATTTATAGTTTAAAATGTTGAATTAATGTAATATTAATCAAATTGACTTTCAAAAAGCGCAACATGACAACTAAAAAGGGACGGAGGGAGTACCTATCAAGAATCCCTTATAAATAACCTCAAACATCACTAAACCTTACAACACTAACATCATCATTCTACTTCCTTCTGTTCCACACGATATTTTTTTCTGTTCTCGTTGAGCTCATATTATAAGAAAACTTAATATGGATAAGATTAGAGATTTGTCATCAAAGAGGGCAGCAGTAATATTCACAAAGAGTTCATGTTGTATGTGTCATAGTATCAAAGCACTATTCTATGAACTAGGAGCAAGTCCAGCAATACATGAACTTGATCAAGATTCAAGAGGCAATGAAATGGCATTGGCATTGAGAAGTCTAGGTTGTAATCCATGTGTTCCTGCTATTTTTATTGGTGGACACTTTGTTGGATCAACAAAAGATGTTATTTCTCTTCATGTTAATGGTTCTCTTAAACAAATGCTTATTAATGCCAAAGCTATATGGTTGTAGCTAATCAAACTAGTTTTCTTTCGCCAGGATTGTGGTAGAGTAGTAATTAAGTACTCTTTTATTCTTAACCAAGAAGTCTCAGGTTCGAGCCTCCTTGGTATGGAGTCGTCTTTGTTAGGGATCGCTTTACCTCCAAGGACTTTTCAGTGTGAATTCGAATTTAATCGGACTCCAATATGGGTACTAGACACCGGATGAAAACCAAAAAAATATAATAGTTTTTTTTCTTGTCTTGTTGGACTCTAAAGAAAGCCATGTTTATTATTACTATTATTATGACAATTGTCCATAATGGAAACTATAGTTTTCTCTCGATTCATTTTCATCAATATTGTTATACCGGGACATAACATAATTAGTGGTCTGAAATCAAAACATAGTAGGATATCCTATTAAGTATTAATAACATTACATTTTATGGAAAAATAAAAATAATTAATTTTAAAAAGTGGAATTTAATATAATATATAAAATAATCATCAAAAAAGGGAAAAACTAGAATAAGAAAAAAATCAGAACCAACGGATTAAGTTATGTTAATTAATGAGAGATAAATTTGACTTAATTTTCTCACCTATTTGAGCAACACAATCTAATTAAAATCTTTTTAAAAAATGAAACCTTTATTTATGATGATTAGAAAGAATATATATTTTAGGGAGTTAAATATCATTTTCAAGTCTTTTTAATATAAGAAATTTATAAGTTTCTTGTGTAGTTATGAAATATGAATGTATTAAATCTTATTTTTATATAATCAAGTATTTATTTCAATATCTCAAATTATAAATAATTGTTAATTTTCGACAACGAATCTTCTTATAACCACTTTAAAAATACTACAATATGTATCAGTATTACAATCAAAATTTAGAAAAGTTCATTATTTCCTGATAAAGTCATGATATTATTAGTAATGTAGTAAAAAAATTATTTAAAATTTTAAGTTTGAGATAAATAATAGTAGAACTTTGTTTGGTAATTTAGAATATTGAATTAAACTACTTATAACTTATTAGTTACAAATAAGAGTTTGAGAATAAGAATCAAGTCATTATATTGCAATAAATGGCTAATATTTTACTTCCCAAATTATATAATAAGATACTGAATTTTTGCATACAAACTATAAACTATAAATATTATGATTAACTAGTTATTTAATAAAAATAATATTTTTGAAAACTTTTCACTCTTGAACCTTTGAATCTCTATAACACACTCAATCAATTTGATGAATTCATCCGATAAATTTATTTTTCTTTATTCCGTATCAATAAACTCATTAATAATTATTTGTTTCTCTAAAAAATTATTAAATGCTAGGTTATGATAAAGAAAAATATTATATTTATGAAAGTTTCAAAGCACATGTTCAGGGTTGATCCAACATTTGGATGGTTTAAGTTATGAGTTCTTTGACTTAACAATTTTCGATATCTCTTTTGGTAATCATATGGTTTGTGTTCCATCACTATATATCTCTTTTAGCCAGGGTATGCATTTTGATAATGTTGAAGTCAATACACTAGGATATTGCATTTTGAGAAAGCATTAGTTTTTATATTTATGTTCCAACAAAAAAATGTTGCTACATATTAAATGGAGAGTCTTGCTGATATGCCAGATACTCTTATTGAAAAAAATTATCACCCAAAATTATTTTCTAGATTTTTGAAATACTCCTTTTTATGTAATATAAGTTTAGATGAAGAAGTGTTGATTGAATCTATGACTTTAACACATTTTGAAATTGAGATTTTTTTTAAAAAGAATATTTATTTATCTTATTTGAATTATTGAGCATTCATTGTTTGTTGTTAGGTAAAAAGATACAATGTGGGTCTATTCTGTTGCCTTTGGTTATGCACTATTCTAATTCCAAAAGGAATGCAACAACTTTTGTCATATTGTTGCATGCCTTGTCCAAGTTTCATAGCATAGTGTGATGATCCTCCATGTTATCATGCCACTTAGGCGTCATACATGGTATAAAATTGTCTATATGGTGCTTACATTGAAAGAACAATAGTCCTTGTAGATTTGCATGGAAGGTTCTTGAAATCTTCTAGAGAGAGTTGTCGAATAGGGACTTGTACATAATTAATATTTGTAAATTAACCCTTAGTGAGTAATATAAATAAAGAGACTTTTATTTGTAATGACATCAAGCAAAAACAAGTAATCTTACAAGCAATATAAAAGTCTTCTTAGAAATTCATGAAAAAGGCTTACTTAAGCTTACAAGATCGTGAAAAATTCATGAGTAAGTTGTCAAGTCTCGCACGAAGTACTTAATTGGAGTCTAAGTCCGTGACAATAGGCCAAAAATAGTTTTTCCATTGTTGTATTTTATTATTCCTTCTCTCCCATATTGATGCTTGATTTAACTTTCATCATTGTTGAGTTTAAGGCTTAGAAAAGCTGTTTGATCCACTTGACTTGTATGATAATTGGTACTTAGTAGTTTATATGATGATATTTTTATCCTAAACAATATTAAACTTTTATAGGCACTTTTTTTTTTGTCTAAATTACTTAATTAATAATTAAGAATATTAAACTTTTATTAATTAGATTATGGTCAATCCTTTGAAAAAGGGTTGAAAATTTTTATCATGGTAGAGGTCCAACCAATTAAAGTTGTGTGAGGTTCCATTTATTTTTTGACACGTGGATTGTGGGCCAATATGTGTACTTCGCAAATGAAATCAAATGAAACAAAATTAAAATAAAGATAGATTTTTATATAGTACAATAAAAGTGGAAGGAAAGAGAGTACTATTTTCCCTCCTTAATTAGGATCTTTGCATATCATATCTAAAACAAGCAAAGTAAAAGCTCCAAAATAAAAATACACCATTGTTGATCTTTTATTCTCCAGAGACGTTCAAATTTTATTTAAGTAAAGTTACAAAATATATAGATCTATGAACTTATTTCTTTTACTCTCTTTGTTTCTCAATATTATTTATATTTGTACAATGATATTTTTTTACTAAAATTTTAAATAGAATGAGAAGTTGTTCATTAATAATCCTCATTATACATATATATAAATATTTTATACACAACTTGAAAGAAAAATATTGCTTTTATCTTGTGCAGAATGCTCAAGATTGTGTGACACAATTATCTATGTAGACTTTTGTGTATCATTCAGCAACACTGTCTCTAAAAATTGAACACTAAGGAGTCGTTTGGTAGAGTGTATAAAAATAATACTCAATAAAGTATATTAATAATGTTTGCATTAGTAATGCATGTATTAGTTATGCATATATTATTTCTTATGCTTTGTTTGGTTTGGGTGTATTAAAAATAATATGCATTGTATAAAAAAATTTATTTACAAAAGTATCCTTCACAATTATGGTGGAAAAGATGTAAAAGTATTTTTGAGGGATAATTGAGTCTTTAACCATATTAATGCATGTATTAAATCATTTACATTACTAATACCTAGAAATCCATGGTATTAGTAATACACTCCTCAATACACAATAGAGTGTATAAAGCATTAGTTATACATAGCATGAAAAAATGCAACAAACAAGGGACTACTAATACATATAATCAATGCATGTATTGTTTTTCTAATACACTACCAAACGACCCCTAAGTCTTTAATATGTTAAAATAAAAATATAACTAAAAGTTAATAGTGGGGTTTACATATATTAATGTTCACTTATATCCAAGAGAAAAAGTAATGGGTTTCTTTTCTCTTCTCCAAAGGAGAAAGAAGATTAACATTCAAACCATTTCTTCTAGATCAGAAATTTCATGAACTTTTAGTTATATTTTTATTTTATTTAAAACCATCTTTTTATAGGGTTCTGTCACTTTTGATAGATTTTTCTCCTTTTGATTTTTTTTAGCCTTTACTTTAAGAAAGAGTCCACAATCCACGTGTCAGAAAATGAATGGAGTCTCACACAACTTTGATGATTGTACCTCTACCATGATAAATTTTTTCAAAAGAGTTTTACCTATATGTCTCTCAACTTTTAATTTATCCCAAAAAAGTTAGAAGTTATTCTTCAGAACAAGAAAGTTATAACTTAATTAAATTTAACTATCATAAAAAGTATAAAAAAAATATTATTAAAAGATTTTCGATTTTGCCTAAGTATCAAAGAAAAATATTATGTTCGTTGTCGAGCCATATCTTCTTAATTTTTTTGGCCTAGTGATTTTTATGTCAATTAGGCTATGTTACTTTTTTATTAAAATTTTTTTTTTAGCTATCTTGATTATACTATTTCATAGTAAAGTTGAATGAATGACTTTTTATTACAAATAATTTAGTATCTTTATTGCAAGAAATTAAATTTTTTGCTACCGTCCTAACTTTTTAATCCAAAAGTAGTTTAGTAACTTTATTGTAAGAAAGTAAAATTTTAGTGATCATCCATGCATGCGTAATATATTCCAATACATTCATTAGGTAAGAACATAAGTATTCTGCATCATCTTTATTAAACCAGTTGCGTGTATTTCACATCATTAGTCATTCGTTATAGCAAACAGATTTAAACAAATAATGCTCCATAGATATAGTTTATCTAATTACGCTTTATGACTATAGTTTAGTTTGTTATGGAGCTTTAGATTTGTGTATCTTAGTTTTTTTGTTTTAAATTCTTACAACTTTTTTTTTTAATAAATGGATACATGGACGCTGAATACGGTAACAAAAAATTTACAGAAGCCCATAATTCACACTAATTGTTTTTTAATAAAATGTTTTGTCCAAAATGAGTTCTACTACAACACTAACACCAATATTTATACAAATTAATTACTATATACAAATGCAAATGTATAAATATACAAATATTTGTATTTGTATATAATTATGGATTATATATGTATATGAATATATGACTTAAATATACAAATATATAAATACACCTCAATATAGTTATGTATATATGGAATTAAATCACAATTTGTATGTGTATAAATAATAATATAACTACTAGACATACAAATTGATATATATATATTTAGGA